AAAAAATTGCTTAGAGGTGATTTCTGGTGTCCTCGAGAATTATTTGAATTATCTTAATTTTTAGCACTGATATTTATAACAGAATAAGGTCCTTCTGACTTTTTTTAGATGCCTTTCCAGCCACAGTGGCTCATGCCCGTAATCCCATCACTTTGGGAGGCTGAGGCGGGCGGATCACCTGAGGTCAGAAGTTCGAGACCAGCCTGACCAACATGGAGAACACCCATCTCTACTAAAAATACAAAATTAGCCAGGCGTAGTGGCACATGCCTGTAATCCCACCTACTCAGGAGCCTGAGGCAGGAGAATTGCTTGAACCCGGGAGGCAGAGGTTGTAGAGAGCTGAGATCACACCGTTGCACTCCAGCCTGGGCAACAAGAATGAAACTCTGTCTCAAAATAAATAAATGAATAAATAAAAGATAGCTTTCATTGCCATATCATCCAAAAGAATGCCAATATTCTCAGTGATTTTGGGGGATGGGAGAGGCAATGGAAGATGACTCACGGGATTAAGGGAATCAGATGATTTAAAGAATCTTGCTCTATCAAAGTTGTTCACAGCCTAAAAATATTTGATGAATGTAGGTATGTTCAAAGCCTTCTAATTCTCCAAAGCAGTGCTGCTGAGAATATGCATGTCTCAGAAGGCAGTGGATCCCAAAGACCAATATGGGATGTTTTACCTAAAAGACAAAAATTGTACATTGGGCTTTAGGACTCATGAAACCCTTGCCTGTTTCAGACGCTGACCGGAAAGGAAATTGAGATTGACATTGAACCTACAGATAAGGTGATGCATGCCCAACTTCTTTTCATATACTTCTTGCCATGTATATTTGTTTGCGTATGCTTATAAATTTGGTCCTTTTGCTTTCATGCTGTCTGCATAGCCCTTGTTCTTTCCATTTCCATGGTCCTACCCTTGAGCAGCTTCTGACTACTTGTCTCTCTAAAGGTGGAGCGAATCAAGGAGCGTGTGGAGGAGAAAGAGGGAATCCCCCCACAACAGCAGAGGCTCATCTACAGTGGCAAACAGATGTGAGTTTGGAGTGAGAATGACAGCATGGCAATCTTCTGTGAAGATGAGAGGGGCCACATACTGAGGTGGATCAGGCCTGCCTTTTGTTTTTGGTGCCTTAGAGCCTTTGGCAATCTGGTGAAGCCTCTAAGCCCCTTCTCAGAATAAGATTTTTTTTCAGGCATGAAACAAAATATATAGAATTACAAAGAAAACTAATTATATTGAAATACAATTATCAAAATACTAAAACAAATTTGTGATATAGTAATACATGTGCTTTTTTATGAACACATGAGATCTAATAGCAGGTCTAATATGACCATAATTTTGAAATATTTTCAAGATACCTACAAACAATTATGATATGAAAATAGCTAATTTCTATTGTTAACAAGTTAATATATTGCTAATATTACTGTGGTTCTTGGCATATGTTTAAAGTTAGAAGAAACGTTAAATTTTAGTTGTGGGTTAGTAAAAATAAAGATGGGATTTTTTTTTCCTCATTCAAGTTCACAGACCCCAAAAGAGATCCATGAAATTTAGGTTAAGAACTCCTGTTCTGGCTAGGTGTGGTGTGGCTCACGCCTGTAATCCCAGCACATTGGGAGGCTGATGGGGGCGGATCACCTGAGGTCAGGAGTTCGAGATCAGCCTGGCCAACGTGGCGAAACCCTCTCTCTACTAAAAATACCAAAATTAGTCGAGTGTAATGGTGGGTACCTGTAATCCTAGATACTCAGGAGGCTGAGGCAGGAGAATCACTTGAACCCAGGAGGCAGAGGCTGCAGTGAGCCAAGACTGCACCACTGCACTCTAGCCTAAGTGACAGAGACTCTGTCTCAAAAACAAAATAAAACAAAAAAACTGTTCTAAGGCTTTTTTTTTTTTTTGGCTTCCTTTTCCTGCAGGAATGATGAGAAGACAGCAGCTGATTACAAGATTTTAGGTGGTTCAGTCCTCCACCTCGTGTTGGCTCTGAGAGGAGGAAGTGGTGTTAGGCAGTGATGGACCCTCCATTTTACCTCCTTACCCTGTCGCTCATAATGAGGCATCATATATCCTCTCACCGTCTGGGACACAAGAGCCACTGCCCCCTCCCCTGGATGCTCAGTAATGTATGTCTACTGGTGGGAGACTATGAGGACCCCAGGCTGCAGTATTCCTGGCCCAGAGGGCCCTTGCTGGCTATTGGGTGTTAGTTTGCAGTCCTGTGTGCTTCCCTCTCTTATGGCTGTGTCCCTGGTTGTCAATAAAATATTTCCTGGCCTCCTGGAATCTTTCTTCTGTTGCACAAGCTGACTGAAATAAAAATGGACCTAATGCTCACTCAGTTATAACAGGCTGAAGGAGCAGGACAATGGAAGGGATGGTGTTCTTAGAGGGATTATGAGACTCTAGGAAAGCCTACTTAGTGGTTTGCTGGAGCCAGTTCCTAGTGACTCAAGAGAGCCAATTATTGGCAGCTCTTTCCAATGCTATTAAGCGACTTCATGATGGTAGCTTGAAGTTGGCCATTGTAGGATTATTTACAGAAATTGGCAAACAATACAGATCAGTTCCTCCCCACAAACATCTACCAGTGTAGTGCTGACATGGATGGTGGAAACATTAGGAGAGTGAATTCTCTGATTGTTGCTTTAGTGGACATTCAGGCCTGGTTGGAGAAAGCCGTCAAGGGTTTGGCTGACACTGCACTCTGGATGGAATATTACTGAGGGTTTTGGGTTCTACACTATGGAGAGGTTGATAATGGAGAAAGATTGAGTGGCAAGCTGTGATGTATCACTTGGTCTCGAGAAGAGGCAGGTGCTAGAAGAAAATGCTTCCCTTCTTCCCTGGCTTTATAGAATCCGGCAAGGCTGGATGGAGTAGGGAAGTAGGGAGGATGCCTGTGGCCAAATGCCTTGGAGAGACTTGACTGCTACGGTTGAGTGTGTGGTCGTGTTGGTATCCGACTGCAATCCTCATCTCTGCCCAGCATCAGAGGGCGCTCTTGCGCCGTCTCCAGGCTGACGACGCTCTGAGTGGCGACGCTCTAGTTGCCGTTTGTCTATGGCAGGCCGGGTAGCTGTGTTAGCTGCCGGAGTTGCCGCTGTCTCTACGGCCCTGGGTGAAGCTCCACCTCTGCACAACGCCTGCGGTGCGGGTCATGGCGCGGCTACCGAAGCTGGCCGTCTTTGATTTGGGTGAGGGACGGTAAGGGGAGAAGTTCGTAAAGCGCTCTCCTTTTCCACATCCCTAACTGCAGCTCTCGAGTCCCTGGGCCCCCCACCCCCAGGCTGAACCTTCCCTCTCCGTCCTCTTGCAGATTACACTCTATGGCCTTTCTGGGTCGACACGCACGTAGACCCCCCCTTTCACAAGAGCAGGTGAGGTAGGGACATGGAGGACTGGGGCGAGATGGGGCCTGGCCAGGGCTGAGTGTACTCTTGCCCTCTCCAGTGATGGAACTGTACGAGATAGGCGGGGCCAAGACGTCCGACTGTACCCAGAGGTGCCTGAGGTCCTAAAACGATTGCAGAGCCTTGGGGTGCCCGGTGCAGCTGCTTCACGGTAAGGAAAGCAACTGACAAAAACTGATAGCGTAATGCCGAAGAGTACATGCATGAGACTTACGGCGAAACCCCTGGGCTACAAAAATAGGGGCGGTGCAAGTTTGCAAGTATTTGCATATTTTTTTCCTTGTGTGCTCTCCTGTGCCATTTAATTATTAAAATGTGGGGCCGGATGCAGTGACTCACACCTGTAATCCCAGCACTTTGGGAGGCCTAGGCGGGAGGATCACTTGAACCCAAATTCCTGAACCCAGGAATTTGAGACCAGCCTAGGCAATAGAGGGAGACCCCATCTTTACCAAAAACAAAATTGTGGTGGCATGAACCTGTAGTCCCAGTTACTTGGGAGGCTGAGGTGGGAGGTTCGCTTGAGCCTAGGAGGTTGTGACAGCAGTGAGCCATGATTGGGCCACTGTACTCCAGTCTGGGTGACAGAGCTAGACCCCGTCTCAAAACAAAAACTAAAACATTGGCTCAGCACCAGCTGTGTCAAACAGGAAGGCAGTGGAGTTAAACAGAGGCTGAGGATGCCTGTCCATCCTGGAAAAACAGCAAGTTGATTTCCCCTGCTTATACTTATTAACTTTGCTTAATAAGTTAATGTAGCCCTGGCCCTTCACTTTGCTAATCCCATCTTTCACACCGTTTTGCAGGACAGGTGAGATAGAAGGGGCCAACCAGCTACTGGAGCTCTTTGACCTCATCAGGTACTTTGTTCATCGGGAAATCTATCCAGGCAGCAAAGTCACACACTTTGAGAGGTATGTGGAGATAAGGGAGGAACAGGGTGAGAAAGTACCAGAGAGGCTTGGGGAACCAAAATACTAGCTTGGTTACCCCTGCCCTATCTTGCACAGGTTACAGCAGAAGACTGGAATTCCTTTCTCCCAGATGATCTTCTTTGATGATGAGAGGCGGAATATTGTAGATGTCAGCAAACTGGGTACTGAGCTATGAGGACAGCCATTTGGGGTCCCTAGGAGGGATTAGATACATACAGGATGGATAGTTTGCCCTGTAGGTGGCACCCCCAAAGGTCAGAGTAATAATGTGGAGCCCTGAAAGCCTGATGAAATGTGACTTATTATCTTTCTAGGTGTTACCTGCATTCACATCCAGAATGGAATGAATCTTCAAACTCTAAGTCAAGGGTTAGAGACATTTGCAAAGGCCCAAAATGGGCCTTGAGGTCCAGCCTTGAGGATGAGGCTCCTTTGAGGCCTAAACTGAAAGTAAATCAAGAAGGCATTTTCAGGTGCATTTGTAATTTATTAAAGTTCATCTGTGTGTGACAGAAGAGATTTTGCCAACAGTGTGGGTAGTTTCTATTTTTCTAGCCTGTGAACTGGGGCTGGTTGTCCTGAGGTGCAGAGACCAGAATATGAGACATTAGATTGCATCAGGTTTGCCATCTAAACTTAGGGCAACCCCAAATGCTTGAACCCATCCCATTACCATTTTCCTTAGTTCTGTAAAGAGCATGAAGAGTTTTCCCACTGACCCCACACATTGATGTGCCATCACACTGCACATTTCCCTCAGGAGAATAAGCATATACTCGGGTGGAGACAGAACTGCCTTTTTATGTAAGAGAAAATGATGCGGCCGCTTTAAGAGGATCACGTCGGTCTGGGCTGATGGCTTGGGTCACGTGACAGCGGTGGTCTGGTTTGCGCCTCTTGATGATGTCGCCGCGGCGCCCTAAGGCGGGATTGGGCAAGGCTGGTCCCTGTGTGATGAAACATCATCCTCCCAGGAGCAAGGCGGAAGTCTGGAGGACGCCGAGTGGCGGAGGCGGGAAAGGCGATGAGTGGTCTCGGCAGGCTCCTCGGGAAGGGTGAGCCGGGGTGGGACTGGCCAGCCAGGACGCGCTGGCTGGTGCTGGGGAAGAGGAGACCCCGGCGAAATTTGGCCGGACCGCTGCACCGGATAGGGGTGGGAAACTCGGGAGACAGGCTGGAAAACCCCGGCCGATGGCGGAGCAAGGCTCATCGCAGGTGCCAGAAGGCACACCTTATCAGGGCGCCTTGTTCCCATCCGCCGTCCTTCCCCGCTCTCAGAGGGGAGAACTCAAGATCCGGGAGGGGACTTGAGGGCGTGGCAATCGTGCCGGCTCCCATTGTTCAGGCTTGAAGACGAGTTTCCTGCTGTCTTCAGCCCTCTCCAAAACCTTGTTCTAAAATACTTTGTGCTGGACAAGAGGGATCTAAGGTGAAGAAAAAATACTGCCTTCTTGGTTGGATGTGGTGGCTCCTTCTTGTAATCCCAGCACTTTGGGAGGCTGAGGCAGGTGGATCATGAGGTTAGGAGTTCGAGATCAGCCTGGCCAATATGATGAAACCCCATCTCTACTAAAAATACAAAAATTAGGGCCGGGCGCGGTGGCTCAAGCCTGTAATCCCAGCACTGTGGGAGGCCGAGGCGGGTGGATCACGAGGTCAAGAGATCGAGACCATCCTGGTCAACATGGGGCAGGAGAATTGCCTGAACCCAGGAGGCGGAGGTTGCGGTGAGCCGAGATCGCGCCATTGCACTCCAGCCTGGGTAACAAGAGCGAAACTCCGTCTCAAAAAAAAAATACAAAAATTAGCCGGGCATGGTGGTGTGTGCCTGTAGACCCAGCTACTCGGGAGGCTGAGGCAGGAGAATCACTTGAACTTGGGAGGCGGAGGTTTCAGTGAGCCGAGATTGCCCCACTGTACTCTGGTCTGGGCAATAGAGTAGGACTTCATCTCAGAAAAAAAAAGAAAAAGAAAAAGAAAAGGCAGCTAGGAATAGTAAAAAGAATATTGGTTTTAGAACTCTTACTGCCACATTTGATTCCTGCACAATCTCTTACTAGTTGTGATTTTTAACATCTTTGTGGTTGTTTTCACATTTGGAAAGTGAAGAGATAGCACATTCATTGTAGAGGTTTGGGGATTAGCCATAACACAGTCCGGTGCCTAGCACATACTATGCATTCAATGATTGGTGGCTAATATTTTTCCTTCACAAAATTTGGGCCTACTTCATTGGACTCTTCAGGGAAGAAGGAGAAGGGGCCAACCCCTGAAGAAGCAATACAGAAACTGAAGGAGACAGAGAAGATACTGATCAAGAAACAGGAATTTCTGGAGCAGAAGATTCAGCAGGAGCTACAAACAGCCAAGAAGTATGGGACCAAGAATAAGAGAGGTAATGAGGGAAAGGAGCCTATGGGGAGGGCCCAGATGGGAAGCAGGTGCTTCTGACTCTTGATGTTCAGGGTGTGGGCTGGGTCAGCCGCCCTACAGGCTTTGCGGAGAAAGAAAAGATTGGAACAGCAGCTGGCACAAACTGACGGGACGTTATCCACCCTGGAGTTTCAGCGTGAGGCCATTGAGAATGCCACCACCAATGCAGAAGTTCTTCGTACCATGGAGCTTGCTGCCCGAGGCATGAAGAAGGCCTACCAGGACATGTGGGTATGGGGGGAGGGGTGGAGGGGCCCAGGCACTGGGAAGAGTGGCTTGCTACCATACTTTAAAGCCTCTCAGAATATGGATTTACAGTACGGATGTTTGTGATGGCTAGACCTTTGTCTGCCTCCTTGTTTCCTATAAGATTCTTTCGCTGGCTGGGGCATTCTAGGGAGGAAAGATGTCTCCTCTAATTATTTTTTTGTTTTGTTTCTTTTTTTTGGAGATAGAGTTTCACTTTGTTGCTCAGGCTGGGTGCAGTGGCACAATCTCGGCTCACTGCAACCTCCACCTCCTGGGTTCAAGTGTTTCTCCTGCCTTACCCTCCTGAGTAGCTGGGATTACAGGCTTGAGCCACCGCGCCCGGCTCATTTTTATATTTTTAGTAGAAATGGGGTTTCGTCATTTTGGCCAGGCTGGTCTTGAACTCCTGACCTCAGGTGATCCACCTGCCTGGGCATCCCAAAATTCTGGAATTACAAGCAGGAGCCACCGTGCCCAGCCACCTTCTCTAATTCTTTCTTTCTTTCTTTCTTTTTCTTTCTTTCTTTCTTTCTCATATCTGCAACATTTATTTTTTAAAGGAATGGATTTTGAGAGAAAACAATGTGGCACAGAAATATGGAACGGAAAATAAATACAAATGTAGGCTATTTTGCTAATTGTTTTTATAACCACAACAAACTAGTACAGAGAATGCCCTGTACAAAACACAAAGTTTCAAACATTAAGGTGTTCCCTTAGCAAGGCTGAAAATTTCAGTCTCTGGTATTTGGAATTTAGGCTGCAGTCCTTGTTTTTGGATGGATCACTGGGTGTGTGGCACAGTCCATGCTTTTGGTTTTTTTTTAAATGAGACAGAGTCTTACTCTGTTGCCCAGGCTGGAGTACGGTGGCCTGATCTCAGCTCACTGCAACCTCCACCTCCCAGGTTAGTGATTCTCCTGCCTCAGCCTCCCGAGTAGCTGGAATTACAGGTGCACACCACCACTCCTGGCTAATTTTTGTATTTTTAGTAGAGACAAGGTTTCACCATTTTGGCTAGGCTGGTCTCAAATTCCTGACCTCAGGTGATCCGCCCGCCTCGGCCTTCCAGAGTGCTGGGATTACAGGTATAAGCCACTGCGCCTGGCTGCCTTCTCTGATTCTTAAAGATCCTTCAGGAAAGAGAATGTAGCCTGTCCTCTCCAGTGTGGCTCCTTACTATTTCTTAGCCCAGACTTGTGTCTTTGCAATTTTCCAGAGATCTCTTCTACTTAATAGGTATGGGCTTATCAGTGTGACCCTATAAGGCAGGAGGGGTTTCATTCACGTTAGATGAGAAAGTCAAGGGGGCATCATTTTCTGATTTCTTAGCTGTCTATCTCATTCTCAGGGACATTGACAAAGTAGATGAACTGATGGCTGACATCACAGAACAACAGGAGGTGGCCCAGCAGATCTCAGATGCCATTTCTCGGCCTGTGGGCTTTGGAGATGATGTGGATGAGGTGATTGGGGGTGAGGGGTAAGGGAATATTGGAGTAAGTATGGGACTGGCCAGAAGGAACACCCAAGAGAGGCTCTTGGAGCAGGTTTGGGAGGGACCTTCAAAAGTGGTATGTTTTTGGAGGTAGAAGTTTTTTTCTTCATCTTGAATGGTCTTGTCTTCCCCATCCAGGATGAACTGCTGGAGGAACTAGAGGAGCTAGAGCAAGAGGAATTGGCTCAGGAGTTGCTAAATGTGGGCGACAAGGAGGAAGAACCCCCAGTCAAATTGCCTAGTATACCTTCTACACATCTGCCAGCAGGGCCAGGTATGCAGGGTTCTTCTGTTGTCTTGAAGACTTAAGAGGGTGGGAGAGATATGAGGAAAGATTATTCTTCATCTATCCTGTCTCAAAGGAACCATACAGAAAGGGCTGCTGGTACAGTTGTGCAGGTTGTGAACTGCATACAGGCACCTACCTATCCTGTGCTCCACTCAGCAAACTGTGCACCCTGGTTTAAGGCTGCAAATGGCAGGAGCAAGAGGCACCATTTTTCTAATTTGCACAAAGGTACTGTGGGATTGAACAGCAGCCTAACAAGCAGAATGATCACACCTTTAGGGTTTTTGCTGGGGAGAGACAATTCAGCAGACTCTGAATGTCATAGCAGGGGATGGTTGGAATTGCTGAGACCTTAATGCTTCTCCTTTCTTTTCTCTGGGTATCTCTGTCCTCAAAGCTCCCAAAGCGGATGAAGATGAAGAAGCACTAAAGCAGTTGGCTGAGTGGGTATCTTGATAAGTCTGGGCTCGTCTTCCTAACGCTACCTTTATTGGTCCTTTTTCCTTAAGTGCCAAGTACTGAGCTAAAGGAGGATAACTTTTTGGGGAAGTCCCGTTAAAGGTGGTAGTGTGACCCTGCCTGAAAAAGGGTCTTTTGCCCTCCCAGCCCTGGCTCAAATCTGAAGAAGGATCTTGCTCCAGGAGGAGCCGCTGGGCTCCCTTCTTTTTGATAGCAGTTATAATGTCCTTGTTCCCAATAAAATTGGACAGACAGAATCTTAGTGTCTATACTACCTTGTTAACCTCTGAAGCTCTCCCCCGGCCCTTGTCCTCAAGAGCCTTATTTCAAGCAATGAATAATTAGAGAAAAAAAGGGGGTTTGAAATAGAACAAATGGGCATTCCTAATATCTCAACTTATGTTCCAGGCAAGCACTGTTTCATCTTTGAAGTTGGTTTGTCCTAGAGTTGCCCATTTGCTGAGGTTGAAGAAACTGCTGTCTACCACTTACCTTAGAACCATGTGGAGGCATCTCTGAGTCTCCCCTCATTGCTTTCCCCTTGTCATGCCTCTGCCAAGACAGTCCCACATTCCTTTTACAAAGCCCATTTTCAAGGAAAAGGAGGGAGAATACCATGGAAGGAGCAAGTAGCTTTACTACTTGGAATGGAAGGAGCAAGTAGCTTTCCTTTATCCAGAGTCCATAGTTAGTAGCTTTCACTACTGGAAGGGTTCATTTGAATTCTGAGTCTGGGAGCAATAGTGTGAGGAGCTTTGTCTCCCTGCTATTGTTTCAGTAGTGGTTAAGATGACACTGGAGGAGGGAAAAGGAACCAAAGTACTTCATATACCTGAATGCCTATTTCTTTTCTGTTTTTTTGTTTTTGTTTTTTTGAGACAGAGGTTCATTTAGTCACCTAGGCTGGAGTGCAGTGGTGCGATCTCGGCTCACTGCACCCCCCGTCTCCCAGGTTCAAGAGATTCTTGTGCCTCAGCGGGGCACCACCATGTCCGGCTAATTTTTGTATTTTTAGTACAGCCATGTTGAACAGACTGGTCTTGAACTCTTGACCTCAAGTAATCTGCCCGCCTCGCCCTCCCAAAGTGCTGGGATTAGAGGCATGAGCCACTGCACCCAGCTCGAATACCCATTTCTAAAAGAACTAACAGTGCCATCACTTTGGACTATAGACAGGCAGAAACATAATCAAAGTGGAGCAACCAGGGCTTTTGCCCCACCGCTTAAGCATTTAAACAGCACAAAGGTGTAAAATAATGAGCATATACTGAGATGAATGATAAAGCGTCCCAAAATAGTGTTAATCCGAGCACCCCATCCCCTCTGAGCCACATCATGAATTACACTATTGATTTAACACAATGTCAAGATTATTGGTTACAGGCTCTGCACAGAAATCCCTCTCCTATCCCAGCAGTGTTCCTTGCTATAAGATTCCCTTGAGAAAAGAGTGTCTTTGACCCTAGTTGATGAAACTAAATCAGACTTAGATTTATTTTTGGTATAAAATATTTTTAGCCTAAGACCCTCCTGCTTTGCTCCTCTCTCAGCCCCCTTCTTCAGCCATTTTCAGGTCGTAATTCCAAGGATTGGTGACGATTAGTGGTGGCGTGGAGCTGGCACATGGCCTCAAGCAGCCTGATCTCATGGGCGGGTTGCTCAGGCTGGAACTTGAGCACCCAGGGATCCTTGATGATATCCAGGATGGTGACACGCTTAGCAGCTTGGCATAACATCTGAAGGACCAGGTTCTAGAGCAGGGGAGAGAGAGGTCTTGCCTGAGTTTTTCTCCATTGTACCACACACAATGAGCAGCTGGACCTAAGAAAGAAGCAGGATAGCCTATCATACCACTCTTGTCAAACGGGGTGTGGCTCTGATTTTATCTTGGAGAGCCAGGCAGTTAACCCCCTGGAAGGGGAGTGAAAAGTTCCTTGGAGGGAATGCTTTCCATAATCCCCTTCTGGCCTAAAGAGGCAGAGGCTGGAACCTGCATATCAAGCAAGGTTTGGAGCCTACTGGTTGGCCCTTTATGCCTTCCATACTATTTTTTTTTTTTTTTTTTTTTGAGATGGAGTCTGTCACCCAGGCTGGAGTGCAGTGGCACCATCTCAGCTCACTGCAACCTCCACCTCCCTGGTTCAAGCGATTCTCCTGCCTCAGCCTCCTGAGTAGCTGGGATTACAGACAGGCACCCGCCACCGGACCCAGCTAATTTTTGTATTTTTATTAGAAACGGGGTTTCACCATGTTGGTCAGGCTGGTCTTGAACTCCTGACGTCGTGATCCACCCACCTTGGCCTCCCAAAGTGTTAGGGATTACAAGCGTGAGCCTCCACACCTGCCGACTCCATTCTATTATAGGGCAGGAGCTAGTGTGTGAAATGGCTCTCGTGTGGGAAGAGCCTTACCCCAGGGTTGGGAGGCCTAGGTTGGGTGACCTAGGATGGATATTCACCCCTCCCTGTGGGTCATCCCTGAGGCCTCAGCCCTGCTTGGGTAGCCAGTACCTTGCACTCCTGGGAGATGGTGAGGTTAGGTGGGAAAGTGACCTCCTTCTGAGTCTCTCTCAGCAGCTTTTTGAGATTGGTGTCATCAAAGGGCAGATGAGCGACCACTAGAGTGTAAAGAATGACACCCATGCTCCAGGTGTCAGAGAGGAAAGGGTTGTAGGGCAAACCTAGTAAGATCTCCGGGCAGGCATAAGCAAAGCTGCCACAGTAAGTCTGGCTGAGGTGGGAAAAGCAGTTCACTTGGCGGTAAGACGCGCTATGACCCACATGGTGGTTAGAAGGCACCATCTTGGCAAAGCCAAAGTCCGATATCTTCACGTTCTCCTGCTTGTCCAGCAACAGGTTCTCCAACTTTAAGTCCCTACCAGCAGCAGAAAGGCTGGGCGTCAGGCTGGGGAGAGGGCTTAGTTTTAGACTGGGAGCTGAAGGGCCAGGGGTCAGAGGATAAGGAGAGTCCAAAGTGAGGAGAGAGAGAGGATGGTATCTGAAGACCACTGGGAGCTCACCATTGTATTTCATAAAATGCTCTCCAGGATGGGCGTGGTGGCTCACGCCTGTAATCCCAGCACTTTGGGAGGCCCAAGGCAGGCGGATCACGAGATCAGGAGTTCAAGACCAGCCTGATCAACATGGTGAAACCCCATCACTACTAAAAATATAAACATTAGCTGGGCATGGTGGCATGCGCCTGTAACCCCGGCTACTTAAGAGGCAGGAGAATTGCTTGAACCCAGGAGGCAGAGGTTGCAGTGAGCTGAGATGGCACCATTGCACTCCAGCGTGGAGGCGACAGAGCAAGACTCCATCTCGAAAAAAACAAAAGTTCTCCATGCAGTGAGTACTTTATCAGTATCCTTAACCACATGATTATAATAGAGTGCATGAATAGGCCTAGATATTTAGGAGGGAGTTTGAGAGAGGAAAAGAGCAGGAAATGAGAGATGTGCATAAAACCCCCTTGAGAGCAAAGTCCCCAGTCTGGGTGGCAGCGACCTCACCGGTGCACGATGCCCTTGCTGTGCAGGTAGGCAATACCCAGGGTCAGCTGGGAGAACCACTTGCCAGCAAGGGGCTCAGAGCAGGCCCCATAGCGCTGGATCCATTCCAGGACGTCACCACCCTGAGCCAGCTCCAGAATGATGTATACTCGAGATGTGGTCTCAATGGCCTGATAGAAGTTGATGAGGTACTTGTGCCGCAAGACTTTCATTACCTGACCCCAGAAGAAGGACCCATCAAACCTGGGAAGGGAGAACCCTGACTTCACTCCCAGCCATCTCCTACCCTTAGCTACTTACTTAGAACTTTGCAAAAGGATCAACCCCTGAACCTCAGAGAACTAGTAGCCTGTGGGCAAACCCTATGTTTTGCACTTTTACTTTTTGTGGGGCTGGAGGTGAGTGGGTGGATAGGAAAGAGGTTTAATTTACATAAATCTTCCTAGCTGCTTAGTGAGACATTTAGTTCTGGTTTGGGGGTTTCTGGCCCCACCCCTTCTGGCCATACCCCTTCTGAGAAACCTCAAGCAGCTTAGTACCAAGCTCCAGTTCCCTCTTCCAGCGCCCTTTCTAACCTGTATCTCACGGGGCAGGAACTTGTTAAGATAGTCGTCAGAGGCCTTCTTCTTTGAGATGATCTTGACTGCCACCATGATCTTCTGCTTTGTGTAGAAAGCCTCATATACTGTTCCATAGGAGCCATTGCCAATGACCTTGCCCACCTCATAACCATATTCATCCATGATGGAGTGGTAGGCTGTGGCTGTGGTGGTTGGTGCTGCCTCTGATACATCTACCTTCCCCATGGTGTTGGGCTTGCTGAGAGCAGGGAGCTTTACTACTTGGAAGCCTCCTATACAAAGCCAACACCTTGAGCCGCTGAAGGCTAGGGTATCAAAGTGAAATAGGTCTCCAAATGGTTGCCTATATAGTCACACGAGTCTGGGATGCTGGGCTCAGCCCTCCACTAGCAACTTGGAGGGGGAAAGAAAGAGAAGCAGTTCTTTTTGTCTCCTCTGGCTGTTACTTCCTCCTTTTGGTTACGGAACTCCTCAAGGTCTCATGTTCCGAATACATCACAATCCACCTCCTATCCGTCTGTTGGCCACAAAACTTATGAACTACAGGCCGGGCGCGGTGGCTGAAGCCTGTAATCCCAGCACTTTGGGAGGCCGAGGCGGGTGGATCACGAGGTCAAGGGATCAAGACCATCCTGGTCAACATGGTGAAACCCCGTCTCTACCAAAAATACAAAAAATTAGCTGGGCATGGTGGCGCGTGCCTGTAATTCCAGCTACTCAGGAGGCTGAGGCAGGAGAATTGCCTGAACCCAGGAGGCGGAGGTTGCGGTGAGCCAAGATCGCGCCATTGCACTCCAGCCTGGGTAACATGAGTGAAACTCCGTCTAAAAAAAAGAATGAACTACAGTGTGAAACATACTCATTCCCAGAGGTACCTTCCATTCTGGTGACACTCCTCCTAACGATCAGCCCCATCATTGATATATGAGTACTGACTATGTAACAGACAGTGTACTGAGTACTTGGACAAAATGTTACCCAAATGTCATGCCAGACCCTTCCTTCTTCCTCAATCCCTACATAAAATCTATCATCAAATCCTGTCTCTGCTACCTCCTACTTATCTCTTTAATGATACACTCAAGGCTTTCTGAGCCTACTGCAGCCCCTTAGTTCAATAAGGCCAGTAGAGACACAATGATCCTAAAGTTTATAATGCAGCATGAGAAATATGAGTGTGAAAGTATTATAACTGTAAGGTATTCAACATGTTCTAGGAAAATCTAACCTTGAAATGCATGCTTATCATGACCCAGAACTCTCTAGTTTTCCTCCACATCCTCTGGTCATTCCTCAGCCTTCACTGAAGCTATATTTTTCTCCATTCATTCCTGAATCATATCCCAAGTGTTCTGTCACAGGCTTTATTTTCTCCAACCTTCACATTCTCCCTTAATGATCTTGTTCACACCCATGATGTCAATACTACATTTATGCTGACTGATCCTGATTTCATCTCCATCCCATGTATCTCTGGAGTTCAGATAGAGCAGCCAATATTACATGGCCATGTCTGTCCCAGGCATGGAACTTGCCATATCTGCCTCGAACTTAACCATATCAAAAATTGAACTTATTTTCTTTTCTCAGACCTTTCTGTGAGTTGTACATTAATCACCCTTAATTTAGACACTCAAATGTCATCCCAAACCTTCCTGCCTCAGCCCCTACATTCAATCTATCACCAAATCCTGTCTCTTTTACCTCCTGATTATCTAATAATACTGAGCCCACTGCCACTCCCTTAGCTTACACCTCCATCATTGAACAGATTGCCCCAGCCAGCCTTCTGCTCCCCTCCAGTCTGTCCATCCTTAAGACTAAAGCATAAATCTGATTTTATTTCCATTTGAAACAATTCAGTGTCTCCTCATTCTCCTCTGGATCAAGTCCATCCAAATTGTTTCATACAGCATTAAGTCTGATCCTCCTTGCCTCCCCAATTTTATTTTTTAACACACAAATACAGAAAAAAAACACTTATGTATTTGTTTGCTACAAATACAGAACAATATTTGTTTGCCACAAATACAGAAAAGCAGTTGTTTGGTTTGCTTCATCCAAACAACTGCTTTTCTGTATTTGTGGCAAACTAGTACTCTTCTTGAGAACTTGGCATAGGAGCTGTTTTAAAGACGACTTTACTGACTGCTCAAGCTTCACTTAGATATTCCTTTTTCCTGGGTGCTCCCATACCTTGTCACAGCACCTAACACAGTGTCTGTAATTGCTTCTCTTGCTTGCCTCTCCCACTAACCTATAAAGGGAGGTCAACTGGTCAGAAGAGACAGATGAATTGCGGAGAACAGAAAAGAGCTGGTTTGGAAAATAAGCAGCATTGAGGGCCCAACTGAGGTTGGAGAACACAGCTTGTCCATAGACACATATTATAGTGTTGTGATTCTTTTTAGCATCTTGGTTATAGGTACTCAAATGCTGATGGATGATTTAGGGTTTTGCTTGGCAGCTGCAATGAAACAACTTGATGGGAGACGGGCATCAAGAACACAAGCAAGAATGTGGCTGAAATGATGGAACGCAGAATCTAAGCTGCATGGGTAAGGAAGATGATATGGTTTGGATCTGTGTCCCCAACCAAATCTCATGGTCAATTGTAATCTGCAGTGTTGGAGGTGGGGCCTGATGGGAGGTGACTGGATCATGGAAGTGGGTTTCTCATGAATGGTTTAGCACTGTCCCTCTTGGTACTGTTCTCACAATAGTGAGTTCTCATACGATGTGGTCATTTAAAAAAAGTGGATAGCACCTTCCTCTTTGGCCTCTTGTTCCTACTCCTACTATGTGAAATACCTGCTCCCCTTTCGCCTTGTGCCATGATTGTAAGCTTCCTGAGGCCTCCCTAGAAGCAGATGCCAGCGTTATGCTTCCTGTACAACCTGCAGAACCACAGGCCAATTGAAGCTCTTTTCTTATAAATTACCTAGTCTCAGGTATTTATTTATAGCAGTACAACTGACACAGAAGACAAGCTAGAAACTGGCCAAACGGGCGGGTGGTGGCTGGAAATTGCAGGTCTCAGTGGAATGGGAAAACAAGTTTGGTCACAGAGGAGTTATTTAGATTTAAGATTTTGTGGCCAGGTGCGCTGGCTCATGCCGGTGATCCCAGCACTTTGGGAGGCCGAGGGGGGTGGATTGCTTAAGGTTAGGAATTCAAGACCAGCCTGATCAACATGGTGAAACCCCATCTCTACTAAAAATACAAATACTAGCTAGGTATGGTGGCAGGTGCCTGTAATCCCAGCTACTTGGGAGGCTGAGGCAGGAGAATTCCTTGAAGCAAGAAGGTGGAGGCTGCAGTGAGCCGAGATCATGCCACTGCACGCCAGCCTGGGCAACAGAGTGAGACTCCGTCTCAAAAAAAAAAAAAGATTTTGTGTGGTGGGTGTATTAGGCCATTCTTGCATTGCAATAAAGAAATGCCTGAGGCTGGGTACTCTTGCTCATGCATGTAATCCCAACACTTTGGGAAGCCAAAGCAGGTGGATTACCTGAGCCCAGGAGTTCAAGACCAGCCTAGGCAACATATCAAAAACCCATTTCTATTAAAAATACAAATATTAGCCAGGTGTGGTAGTGTGTACCTATAGTCTCAGCTACTCAGGATCGCTTGAGCCTGGGAGGTAAAGATTGCAGTGAACCAAGATCGCACCATTGCTCTCCAATGTGGGTGACAAAGTGAGACCCTGTATCAAAAACAAACAAAAACTTGAGACTGGGTAGTTTGTAAAGAAAAGAGGTTTAGGCCAGGTGTGGTGGCTCACACCTGTAATCCCAGCACTTTGGGAGGCTGAAGTGGGCAGATCAAGAGGTCAAGAGATTGAGATCATCCTGACCAACATGGTGAAAACCCCTCTCTACTAATAATACAAAAATTATCTGGGTATGGTGGTAGGTGCCTGTAGTCCCAGCTACTCGGGAGGTTGAGGCAGAAGAAGAGCTTGAACCCGGGAGGTGGTGGTTGCAATGAGCCAAAATATCACACCACTGCACTCCAACCTGGCAACAGAGCAAGACTCCGTCTCCCACACACACGCAAAAAAGAGGTTTCATTGGCTCACGACTCACCATTCTGCAGACTGTATAGGAAGCATGGTGCTGGCTCAGCTTCTGGGTAGGCCTCAGGAAGCTTACAATCATAACAGAAAGTGAAAGGGAAGCAGGGACATCACATGGTGAGAACAGGAGTGAGAGAGTTGTAGGGGAGGTGGTGCACACTTTTAAACAACCAGGTCTTGTGGGAACTCATATGGTGAAGACTACACCAAACCATGAGGGATCCTCCCCTATGATCCAAACACCTCCCACCAGGACCCACCTCCAGCATTGGGGATTATATTTCAACATGAGATCCAGCCAGGGATAAATATCCAAAGTATATCAGTGGGGGACAGAGGGGTAGAGGAGAGAACATAGGAAGAATCCAAATTCTTTTATCTTCCATTCTCCAAAACAGAACAAATACTCTAAGAACAGATTATACCATAGGCTAGCAGTAAATTCCCATTTATTGACAGTCTGACCTTGCTGGCAGGATGGTTCCAAAGTTCTGTTGGAAGCCAGTTCTACATCCTCAATCTAGCAAGATGAGCAGTTTTCCAGGGCACATCATGGTAAGGGGGGCCCACCCAATGTTGTCCATCTGATCCCACAGGCTGGCCCCCGGATAGGTAACTTGGTGGCAATTCTAGTCTCTCGTCATGTACAGGGTTTAGGTAAACCAGTTCATGCAATGATCATGTATTAAGCTGCCTGATAGATACAAAAACACTGCTAGGTCCTGAGGAAACAGAGTTGTATAAATTACAGTCTTCCTGTGAGGAGTCTGAAATTAGCAAGGGAGACAGACACATAAGTAAAATAACAGTACAGTGAGATACACTATAAACAAACCTGGAAGGAGAAGTAAGAGAAGGCTTTATAGAGAAGGTGACATTTGCAATGTTCAAAAAAAGAAAAAAAAAGGATAAGTGAAGTAGGAAATAGGAAATTGGGTGGTTTAGGCAGAAGGAACAATATGAGGCTTATAGGCTTGAGAGAACATGATATTCAGTATTTCTATTTGAAAACAGGATAGGGTTCCAGAAGGGGAAGGTACCTGGAGAAGTGATTAGGATTCAGGTCTGAGAGGTCTCATATGCCAGGCTATTTTGATTCTACCCTGTATATTCATATAATCTGGGTATACATAAAATCGAGGTCCTTGCTTTAATTTTTTTTGAGATAGAGTTTGGTTCTTCTTGCCCAGGCTGGAGTGCAATGGTGCAGTCTTGGCTCACTGCAACCTCTGCCTCCCAAGTTCAAGCAATTCCAAGTAGCTGAGATTACAGACATGAGCCATCATACTTGGCTATTTTTTTTTTTTTTTTTTTTTGAGACGGAGTTTTGTTCTTGTTACCCAGGCTGGAGAGCAATGGCACGATCTCGGCTCACCACAACCACAACCTCTGCCTCCTGGGCTCAAGCAATTCTCCCGCCTTGGCCTCCTGAGTAGCTGGGACTGCAGGCATGCACCACCATGCCCAGCTAATTTTTGTATTTTTAGTAGAGATGGGGTTTCACCATGTT